CTCGCAAAGTTTTATTAGACTTTCATTCTTTCAAACTGATTCCTTCCTTTATTTCATGAAATGCTACTTCTTGCCAAATGACAATGCATAAACCAGTCAAATAGGTCAGCAAGTCATCGTAATTCAACAAATAAATGACGTCTGTCTGTAATATGCATTCAAGTTGAAATTTTTTAAATGAAAACGGAAATGATAATATTACACATTGAAAGGTTTCATCGTAACTTTTTTCATGCTTTTTGTACAATTATACTTGGTGATTGACAAATTACTTAAATTTTATCAAGTAAAATTGTTGCTCGATCACAAAGTTTTTAAGACGAGCAAATTTGTACTCACAACACTAGTGTTAATAAAAGTTGATAGTGCGTGATATTCCTTTAACGTGTAAAAATATTAGGTTATATTTTTAGTTTTCAAAATGAGATCAAAGTTGTATTAAAATCTTATTAGTTGTTAGTAGATTCTTGTGAAGAAATTTTTAAAAAAATTTGCGCACCCAATTCTTTTTTGAAAAAAATGTTGAATGAAATTTGGAAATGAACTTAGTGCATTTTTTGATGAATAATTATTGCTAATTTTTGGTTAACTAAACTGCAATTATCATGACTGTTTGCATGTGAGTGCAAAAGGTTAAAAGCATTTCTCAAAAAGCAAATTCAACAGAGGTTTGGTAGGTATAATGTGAATAAATCAAAATCAAAAGAAAGTTAATATGCAGTGATTTAAAAATAAATTTGTTAAGTGGCTAAAGATTACTTAGGTCGAAATTTAAAGTATTCAGTATTCGAAATTGCTTAATATCTTACATTATTCAAAGATATTAACTCTTTTTCTGTACTAATTTTACAATTGCATTCATTATTTTTTTACACCAATAGCTCTTTTTGAAAAATATTTCATTAAATTTAAAAATGAATATAAAATAGAAATAAATTTATTAAAAAATTATTGTGCTTAACGAGCAGAAAAAAATTATTTTGCGAAATAATTAAAGTTTGATAAAAAGTTCTGACGCGATTAAACTTCTGAACGTGCTGATTTGTCTTCGTTGCACAACAATTTCTCACTGATGATAAAGTATATTATTATGATATCAGTACTTTATCACCATTACCATTATTACTATTGTTACTACCATCTCCATTCAATCGTGATTTTATAGATATTTTATAAGTTTCTTGCAAATGTCATTTTACATTACATTTGCGGTCAGTGGTCAGCTGATGATGAGATAAAAGTGGATGATGATATTTCTTTGAGTAAGGCGGGGTTTCTGCGATACCACAGGTTCTCCCCCGGGGCATCCCGGATTTCCATAACTGGTTTCCGGGAATAAGGGGGTTGTGTACATTCTTAGAAAAGGGATCTTACTCCACTTGTTAGTCTCAGTAACAGGCTGATTTCCAACTCTCACCTTTCTTGCTTTTGCTCTGAGCAAAGAAGCTTTAATCCCCGGATTTGTTTTTATTTATAGACAATTATGAGAACTGCTGGTTACGTTGCTGGTAGTAATACCCCTCTGATACTGTATCTTTTCGTGCAGTTCCTCCTTAATATTAGGCCTAGTGAGGCTTGTATTGGTAGTCAGTCATGTTGTCCACCAGCAATACGATGTGCCTCGACAGTGCCATCATGTTCTTCTTCAAGGTTTGTCACCCAAAATAACTTTTTAGTTAATCAAAGTAATTTATTATTTCATCGTTAACAACTGACCTACAAATCATCTTTATTTTTAACATGCACTAAATCATTGTTAATCATCTTTTATTTAATTTTTTTTCAAATTTATTTCAAACAAGATGATTGACCATAATTTCATGAAATTCACCAGCAGATAAAGCAATAAATGTTACATTTCATTTCTAATTAATTTACTAATTTTTTCTAGTATTATTTTTGCTAATCAAATATTATTTTGAATATCAAAAAATTTCGGCTGTTGTCAAACCTTATGAGTGAAAAAGTTTGTACAAGATTAAAAGCATGCAAATTCATTTTTTCAAATCAAAGCAAGATCAAATCAAATTGTCGTCAAGAAAAGTCAAAAATTGAAGAATTAATTTGAATGTCGATGTGAGGTATTAATTTGTTAGCATAATATTAGAAACCATGATATGACAAAATATTTTAACAGCAATGCTTTAATCACGGACTACTCTAAAGTTTGAAATAATAGACGGAAAATACCAAAAGTTTTATGCTTATCAGTTTCTGAAGCTTCGTTTTGTATGAAAAATATTAGTCAAGTTTGTGCTCAGTGACACATACTTTTCAATTAATTATTTAAAATTATTTTCCTGAAAACTGTGGTAAATTCAAAAACATGCGATGTAAGGTTAATAAGAGCAGTTACATTCTTTAGGAATGCTTGATTCCATACATGAATGAATTTTTGGTCTAGAAAGTGTGCTTGGTGTTCATTAAACTGCCAAAACTGATGGATCACTTATATTATAAATTGTAGTTATAAAGTTAAGTGAACAGAGGGAACTAATGAAGACGACGTTCCCTGTTGAGAATAGTAGATAAGCATTTTAAATATTTTAATAAAAAGTAATGAGAAGTATGAAAATTATTATTTTCTGTGTATTATCGAAGAAAATAGTTTGCAGCAAAAATTATTTGTGCATGCAAATTTTTGATAACACAAAAATTATTGTTACCAATTGGAAAGTTCAAGAAAAGTTGATATAACTGAATAAAAATTAAGTAAACTTTTGAGTATACAGTTAATTCTGAATTAAAGCCTTCTGAATTTGACGGATAGACATAAATTCATTAAAGTTTGTCACAGAAATTAATGCCTGAAAATTTTCGCATTAATAAAATTTTCCGCCTTTTCATCAATTTTCAAATGTTTTTGTACAAAGATGTAATCTTTTTTGACTGTATTATATCAAAAAAAGCATAAAAATTAAGGAAAAATACTCATCTGTTTGTATTTTAGTTTTACTCTTTTGTCTTAGTAAAGAAAAATAAATTCTGAAAACTTTTTTGCTATGCTCAAAATTTTTTGCTTCTCTTCTATTTGATCACTTGATTAGTTTCACTTTTTAATTGACCAATTTGTAATTTCAGCAATTTTCAACATTTCATTATTATCATTCAAATACCGTAACGTTTGTCTTCGAGAATAAATTTTACATTATATCAAGAAATGCAATACTTCGGTCATTTATATACTATACTTGCAGTTATATTTTTGAATTATTTAGCGAAACTTTTTGAGTTTTGCTTTCCAAAGTAATTTTTCTATAAACTGATCGAAGTTTTATTCGTCGAAACTATTTGTGTTTTAAGTATGCAATTTGATTTATTACTCAGATTCCCTTTGAAATATGACTGTTAATATAATGTGACAGTCATCTACCCAAGTAGGATTGATAAAAACTGAAATCATGGGAAATTTTAATATGTTTCCTAGTAATTTCTGCACAATATTGTTTTCCTTAGTAAATTTGTACTATAAAATCGTTTAAGATTTTACTGCTGATACCGCAGTGTAGAGAGCATTTCAACTCGTTCTACTTGAAAATAAGAATTCAACAAATGGCAAAAAATAATAATTTCAAATGAGAAAGAGAGAAAAAAAAGGCGATTGTAAATTTATGAATGAATTTGAATGCGATTTACACGACCTCTTTTGTTACTTCAACAGTGGCGTTATGGTTGGTGCTGAATGTGTGATGACATCTTTCTTTCACTGTCATTACACACGTAGAAAGTGACGGATTTTTGAATCGATAATTGGATTTAGATCAAATTTACCTGTTTTATGGGTTTGCTCGATTTTTTCATTTTGAGAAGAGTGAAAAAGTGAAAATATTTTGGGCGCAAGGGTACTTTCTCCTTCTGACAATTCCGTTCCACAATGAAATCTGACACAAACTGCAAAAATTTGGTCATATTTTCTCAATAAAAAAATTCGTAATAATTTCTGTTTACTCTGTTGAAAATAAGATCAGATCAGCAGACATAATCGAAGTTAACACTGCTCAATGCAAACAAGTAAAACTTTTTTGTCGGTTCCAATTGCAACAATTTAATCTTAACGAATTGTTGAAGGCTCAAGATTTGAATCATTTTAGCGCACTTTTCAAAACTTTCAACAAAATCTTGCGAACTATTCTTTCTGGTAAGTTATCACATTGAATAAAACGTAAATAATATTCGTAATTTAGCATGAAGCATACATGAAATTGTGCATTAAAAATCAGTGAAGTTTGTTTGTAACCAAAATAACCGATCATAAATAAGTATATGATTCAAAAACAGTGGAAAAAAGTAATCACAAATTCATTGGTTACTTATTCACTTAATAAATGAACTAAAAACCGAACATACATTTTTATGTACCAGAAAGTCCTAGAAAGAAAAAATATTTTTTGTCATTCTTCAATTCCTTTTAAGCAAATGATTAATCCATTAATTTGAGTGGTCACAAATCGAGTATGGTCAGTTTATTTATAATCCAACACTTCAAACTTGAAATGTATTTATAAATTAAGTGTACAATATTTGAAAATAAAATAAATGGAAACATAAATTTAATCAATTAACTCAAGTTGATTCAATTTTCATAGAAACTAAAATCCATTGGTAAGTCATTTAAAAAATTGGAAGAAAATATCTATATATAACTTGAAATGATGGGTACTAAAACTAAGCTTTAGGCAAAAGAATCAGAGAGGAATGAACCTAATTTAAATTTACTGAAACAATTCTAGAAATCGAATTCTTGATCTTTCGAACTGACGTGTATTAACTAATGAAAATTTCTGCTAACGCTGACACTAAAATGGAAGTTCAATAGAACTGTTCTCATTACAGAGCAGATATAGCTTGCATTTTAAAACGCATCTATGTTACGATACTAAACGTTGAAAACGTTAAAAAACAAAGTAATGAAGAAATAGTTATATTTAGGAAAGAGATGTAATATGTTCTGCAAGTAAGAAATGAAACAAAGTAATAACAGTTATCGTAAATGAAGTTGAATGCATCGGTTGAATTTTGCAGTGCCAATTTGGTATAAAAAACGAAATATTAACACTAATACAATCTCTACTAATTGCATTAAATATCAAATATGTGTAATTGGTAGGTATCTGATAATCAAAGATTTGTATACTTTATTTTTAGTAATTACTGCAAAAATGTCTGGATTGTAACAAACATTTTTCAAATCAAATTAAAAATTTGTTAGGAGAAGTTTTTAAAGCATTCGAAATTTAGCCACATCTAAATTAATTATTCAAAAATGTGAGAAAAAAATTTGTTAATAGTTTTACAGAAAAATAATTCAAACTGCTTTGGCTTTATCAGGAGATTAGCTACGATTCATTTGCATCCTTATTATTAATAACTCTAAAATTTTAAATTTTATAAGTTGATAGAAAAGCTTATTTGAACAAACTGCGCTTAAATTATTCTATTTAAAAGTGTTCAATACTTTTTTGCTTGATTCTGTTCTCTTGTATAGCCAAATTGCGTTTTTGAAATGAAACATAACTTTGGGAAATTAGAGTGAATCTCTTGAAAATTAGGTAATTTTCTTTGAAATTTTGCCCTTTTCACAGAGTTTTGTTCATTCTAAAAAGTTTTTTGCTTATTCAGAAAAATTAACTAATAATAAATTGTGAGCTGATCTGTGTATTCAAAACAGAAATTTCAAAGTTTCTATTCGATTATAATTTTTCAATCGTCGTAGAAGCTGATAATTTGTAAAGCAAACTAATTTATTTATCGCGTTGGATTGTTAACGATTTAGCTGTAAAAGTAAATGAAATTTTTGATATATTTTGACGTTTATACGTGCTTTTATCATTAAATTTTTTCTTTTAAGTCATAATTTAATTATTCTGTATTTGTATTTTCTACCAAATTTTTTTAATTTTATTGTGTAAAAAAATATTATCTCTCTATTCAATTATGTTGAAAAAAGCTTTCTACAGTCAGTTAATTTGATTTCACTTTTGTATTATTGCTAGTTTTGTCAACACAAACTGTGCAAACTTCTACTTGCATGAAATTTTCATTACGAAAAAAGCATGAAACTCACTCACACGCGTACTTTTAGCGCCTTAACTAAAATTTCATTTGTTCTTTTTTTGGGAAGTTGAAAAAAAGGTGAAAATTAAAAAAATTAAAATTTTTGTTTTTTTACCAATTAAATTTTTTTTTGCGAAAATAGATTATGATAACATTTAATAAAATTAATTGAAAAAAATTGCAACTTGATTTGGGTGCTATATTATTTCATTATAGTTATGGAGGTTACTCTTCATTAGGAGGAAGTGGCTGCAGTGGTGGCGGCTGTGGTGGTGGAGGTAACTATGCAGCACCTCCAATAGCAGGCCCACCACCACCACCTTCAAGCATTGGTGCCGGAGGTGCTTATTTGGCGCAACCTCAACCCATTACTTATGTTAGTAGTGGTAGTGGTGCACAACAACCTTACGGTACGTAATTAACTGTATAAATTTGTTTTACAATTCATTTTTGTTTTATTATCAACTTTTTAAGCGCATTTGTTTATTGAATGCTTTCAATATATTTGCTTTACAACTTATAGTTTGTTTCTTTTGCTTTGAAATTACAATTATCAAAAATTTATTAAAACACGAAAAATCAATGGACAGTTTTGAATTGAGTAACTGGAGCCGAGAAATTGAAATATGCAAATAAAAACCTCATTTATCGCATAAAATCAAACCAATCTAATATTTGCACTGGTCTTATTTATGTAAAGTTACTTATAAACTTTCACTAATAGTAATATTACTTATAACTTTTGACCTTTGTTTTTATTCTGATGAAAACTAATTCTGTAAAAACCTACTTCTAAAATCTGAAAAAAAGCTTGCCAGCGTTTCATTTCTTGTAAGATACAAAAGCAAATTGCGGGAAATCTATATATTTTTAAAAAGCCTCTCTAATTGAAAACTTGTATAATTTTCATTTTTTTTATTCTTAAAAAAGTGCGCAAATACGCTTAATCCTGACATAACTCTAATGACCTTTTCTAAAAACAAAATAGTGCCAGAAATAATTTGTTCTCCATACTCTTGTCAAGAAAATAAACAAGCATATGTATTATCTGACAACTGCAATTTATTTTTTAAGAAATTCCAAATAACATTTTGCAATAAACTTTAACTCGCGAAATTTTGTCAAAAGTAGATGAATTAACATTGAAAATTTAAATAAGAAAATCGCAGTTTATATTAACTTTATGCAAATAGAAAAGCGTTAGATTCAGCAACACTGATTATCATTTACAAATTGTCCATATTTCCGTAATTAAGATTAAGTGAAAAATTATCATTGCAAGAGTTTGATGGAAAGTAACCAAAGTAAGAGGAATTAGAAGGATATCTTTTCTCGGATTGACAGAGATTAGCCAAGTTGGCATCTGAATCAAACATTGTAAAAAAACAGTGCAATTATCACTTGAAAAAAAAAATGTTTCTGACACATTTCAAGTTCTCTTTCTGAAATTAATCACATAAACAGCACTGACAACAATACAAAAATATCTTCTGAAATAATGTGTAAATATTTCATAAATATATTTTCAAATTGTAATTCTTGAATAAATCATTTACAACAATTATGATAGCTTTATCTTATCTCTAAAATGTGAAACTTTATTCTTAAAAATGAATTAGATTGCTTGAAATCTCAAAATAGACAGTTTTGGACAATGAAAATTAAAAAACAATAATTGAAAAAAATGATGTTAAAAATTTGAAAATAATTTTGAGGTACTACTGGTAATACCGGTAGCACATTTCAGTGGTTATGTACCGTTTATCCAAAAAATTATGAGTGTATCATTCAATGTGGCACTATTTTCGGCAATTTTCTTTTTGCTTAACTTCTTTTCTCTATAAAAACTAGACAAATTACTGAGTTCACATTTTAGGTGCGACTGGATACAGTGCAGTTGCGACTGGATACAATGCAAAAGTCGCAATGCGCCCTGAAATTAGTATCGGGGATTCAGTTCAATCTGTTGCCATGCCACCGGTAAATATCCCAGAACAAACATTGCTATCATCAGCTGGTGGACAATATAAAGAAAATGTTGCTCTCCCTGCCCAACAGTTTCAACCACCTGCTCAACCAAGAGCTTCTACATCAGGTTGATTTGTTCGGCTCACCGCAATTTATTTAAATTAGTTCAAAAAAACAAGTACAAAGAAGTAAAACTTGTGATGGTCTTACAAGAAACAACTAATTGCAAAAATTTTTCAAAAATTTGGTCGAAATAATAAAAAATGTTTGAATTTCAAAATATGCTATTTTTGAAATTGCGTTAATTCAATCCGCGCAAACAATTTTATAAACTGGTAAGATGTGCTTAAAAACTGAAATTGAAAACTTTAAAAATTTTTCAGAAACTTATGAATTGAAGTGCCACATTGGGTCAAAAAAAGCTTAAAAAATATTTCAAGAGTACTTTCAGGAAATGAATTAGTCTATACATAATTTGATTTCATGAAAAGTAAAAATTGTACAGACCTTTTCTGAGAAGAAAACTTTGTTTTTAAGCAATTCGCAGCCTTTTAAAGCAGTAATAAAGTAATTGATTTCAGGTAGCGAAGAAGCTAAGTTACTCCAAGTCAAGCCTGTAGATAATGCATATGAAGAAATTATTAGTGATCATGAAGGTCGCAGACCTGTTGGTGCTATTAGAGGGGATTATTCGTCAGTTCCTAGTAACAGTGAAGCTAGCATTGGTACCTTGAGCCGTGCCGGCAGTGACACAGCAATTGGTAGCGGAGAATCGGCAAATTACCAGGAATCAGGAGGAGCAGGTCAAAACTCAATTAGTGTGCAGCCTATGCCAGAAATGAAGTACAGTCAGGCCAAGGAATCCCAACTGGTTCAACCTAAACCTGCAGCATCCCAAGAGAGCTATCAAGGTCAGGACCTTTCAAGCAGTGGAAAAGGTACTGTTTATAATTATATACTTGAAACCCAAATAAACAATAAGTGACAAAAACAAAAAAGGGTGGTTTTCTTGGAAAAGAAACTGCAAGCAAGAATACTTGAAAAGATTGTAAAAAAGTCAAGAGTAAAAATTATCAAAAACAATGCACAGAGATTACTGATGGTGCTTCTGAAGTGAGCAATTCGGTGTCATTCGCGGGATATGACGACTATATTTCAGGTACTGAGGTGGGATATGAAGAAGACCGAGGTAGCGTGGTGGATTCTCGCGTAGTGGATTCTCCGGAAGGTCAGTCAGCTATTTATCAAGAAAATCCTCCTTCATCCGGTTATCAAGTTGATGATTACAAACAGGGGAATGTCGCACAGCCAACTATCCCAGTAGCTGAACGACTACCACCCGTCTCATCAATTGACGTAAGCAAATTGTGTTTTTACTTGTCTATTGCTCACAATTCTCAGAACTTTTATTTTCGAGTATGTATGCATTTTTTCTGTTTGTAGAATAATTTAAAATGATGTTTACTTGTGAAAATATGTAATTAAAATGTTAATTTTGTTCAGAAAGCTCTATTTAGAGAGAACTTGCGTCAAATAATGGAAAAGATAGGAATGCAATCATCGATCAGACGAGCGTAGAAAGTGACGGTTTAACTTGTAACGATGAAGATCTGAAGAATATTGTCGAAGTATCTGCTGCATTTGTTATCAATAAATTTACTTATTTGCCTACAAATCTTTTGATTTTTCCTACTAAAATTTATGCCAAAACAATTAAATAACGTGTTTTGATTGAATTAAAAATATTCTTTTATTAGTGAATTAATATGAATTTCAGAAATCAGTTGGTAATTTTTATTTCTTTCAGGCAGCTTTAACAGAGCATCAAGACAATTTGGATGCTGCGCGAAAGATTGAGAGTGAAGCATCAAGACGTTTCGGTGGTCGTTTCAATTCCATTGTTTCGGATTCAGAATTTGCATATGTGAACTGGTATGGAAAACGTAACTGTCAGCTGCAAGTACATGGAAGGCATTCACTGACTTGGGAAGACTAAAGATAAAATATTAAAATAATCTTTTCAAGTATGTGATTTCTGATGAGAAGTGGTGTACGCGATTGGATCTAAATCTATCTGTTCCTTTCTAACTAATCGCTAATTTCTTCATTATTGTAAATTTTTAAATGAACAAATTAAAATTAATGCACTTTTATTAAACGTTGTATTTTGTTTCAGTTGATACAGTGTTGCATAATTCTTAAAAATTAGATCTGTAAAAGTATTATATAAAATTAGCCAACACTAATTTCTTTTCAAATTAGCGATTTCATTTGTTAGTATAGGCATTTAATTCAATTATTTCATATTAATGCATTTCTTACAATTCGTAGAATGTTGCTAATTCTTCATAATTAATGCTATTGTTGTCGGAATTTTACTCTATTGCATTTACATCAGACACCACTTTTTCTTTAGATGCATAATTCTATAGGTTGTTAGATATGTTATTTCCTAGCAAGAACTGTCGCATTCATTTCAGTCAGTGTCAGTTACATACGAGGCATTTCTACGCAACGCAACATTAGTTTATTTTTAGAGTAGAGAATGAGAATTTTAGAGGTTTTTAGTCACTTTTTTGCTACAAAATAAAGCTATATGTAAATACTTTCTGAACTATAGTGTTAAAATTCAGTATAACAAACTTAAGTGACGAAAACAGTAATGAATTTGGAATTTGCAATTCTCTTCACTCACAAACTTACTGACGTGAGCTATCTAGACATATAGTATTATTGTGGTTACTTGTAAACTAACTTTTTGAATTTCTTTGGAACTGGATAATATTTTTACTTAGACAAATTTAAAAATTCATAATACTCAGAGAATCCTAAATTTGAGCTCGTTTGTGTGCTGATAAAAAAGTCATTTCTAAGCTATATTTTGAAATATTTGAGGAATTTTTACCCTTCTGAAAGATTATTTTGTTCACTGCGATAAAATTTACGAAGGTCATTATTTGGTGTATCACATCTCAACCTTAAATCTAAATTACATTATGCCATCACTTCACGCTATCAGTTTGTATCTACAAGCGTTTGTCTTACTTTCATTATGTATTGCGCAAAATTGTGAACAGAAAAAAGTATGCTAAAGTATACAGTTTATTATTGGCAAAAGACACTCTCCCACTTCCCATATCAAAGTGAATTTAGCAGGCCATTGTTTGAGTATGCTCTGTTTTTGCTTAATCCAAGTACAAGCTGAATATTTGTAGTTGCCTTGAATTCCTTAACTTATTTGTTTTCGTCTATTGAATCGTTTTATGGCTTAAATTCACTGCTAAATTTTATATAATTGTTTTGCAGCTAGAAAGTTTGTCTAAAATTGTTTTCCTAATCTTTTCATTATCATAAATAAGTCAACAGAATTGTTTGGAATTTTTCAAGTATATTATTGTGAAAATCCCGTGAAAAGAAATGTACCAACGATACGTAATTAGTCACGTATGTTAAGTCATGTTTGTTTTCGAATTTTCAAGCAAATAAAATCATTTATAGCAAAGAAGAAAGGTTGCTTGCTATTATCATTGTGAACAAGACCTTTGTTTTAGTTTAATCAACATAAATATATAATCATAATAAAGAGTAAGTATTGTGATAATCTTCGCTCCACTGAGTCTCTCAGTTTGATAAACAAATCTGATTAACAATATGTAAACAAGAATATTTCTTCTTCCGATTATGTGGATTTTGAAAAATAGTACGGCCTCGACGTTTTAAATTCTCCTAACAGAATTCATTTATCAATCACAAAATAGAAGTAGCAAAAATTTTTAAATCGAAAAATAAAATTTGTCATTGATGACTGCAACCTAAACGACAAAAATCCAAGCGTCAGTGTTCTTCTGTAGCGTAGAAGCAATGCATCTTCATGTTGTAATTAGTTCTATATTCATACTTTACATTCTGAATCTTAATCTTTTTCATAAGGAATGCAAGTGCTTCAGAGGTTTAAATTAGGAGCAGAATTGATAGAAAACGATGCTCAACTCAGGTAGAATTTACTTCAACCGATTGCTACTCTATTCATGTGGGCACAATTTAATGGTAGTATTGATGAGTAAATAAATGTTATTAGGCTATATTAATCGAGGTTTAATTACAGTGAGAAAAGAATTTTATTCTCAAAATTCTAAAAATAATTTTGGTTCTAAAATATGCTGCCATTTGTATTCCCTGGTATTTCCATTTAAAATGAACAAACATTTTCTCATTGCAAGAGTAAATTTAAAATGTCATCCTTATGAAAGTACGATAGAACTGTCTTGATTTCATGAAAGACAGGTCTACAGAGAGACAAGACGGATTTGTTGATAAATGATAAATTCTTCGTTAATCTCATATGCAAGTTTGAAGCACCTTCAAGGTAAGCAAATCTAGTTTTCATTACATCAATGAGAATACAATAAAAATAATCAGTGTAACAATTATTCTATCGCGCAACGAATTCCCGAAGAGAAGAAAAATGCGAACACTTCGGAACCAGTAAGTGCTAGTAATTTCGCTTCTTGTTTTAATCTCTTCTTTTAATAATTAATTAACTCCATCTTTTCTAGAATCTCACTGCAAAACGAGATCCAGAAACTCTATTATTTCAAACACAAACTAAAATAATCAATACTAATCACACCATGCAACCATCTACTTTTAGATATGTTGCTTTATCAAGTCTTAACTCGTAGCACCAACGGATTCGGATAATAACAATAATAACAGTTATGTACCATTGTTCACTCTTATTTACTATGGATTTTTACAGAACAAATCATGTGAATACCACTGAACATTTTATCCACAACTGAAATAACTTTCACCACAAATGTTCACAATTAATATTGGCGAGACTAAAAATATTACTACGCCATAATAGCTTACAACGTAGTCCAAAACTTTCTGATTCAATTGGTAAGTCATAGAATATTGAGCATTGAAATATATTGCATAGTAAGGTAAAATACATGCAAATAACAATGCAAACTGCTAAGTTTACTTAATAATTATATGAAAACAGACAATCTCAATTTCTCTCTGACAGAACACATAAATGAAAAAATTATGAGCACAATTTTGACCAGAGTTTGAGATCTTATGCAACAGTTATAATGCATACAAAATGTCTCAGAGTTTTTTCTTCAATATAAATGATTCATTCTTCTTACAATAAGCACAGCTTTCTGGTTTATTTGATAAGTCACAGAATATTAAATTTAAAATATATCGCACTTTCATCATTTATTAACACTGGAAACTTTTAGCAATTTTCAGCACAGTCTTTCGATGCATTGCATTGGAAATACCAAGATCGATGAGATCATTATCTGTCAAAGCTAAGAAAGTTGCTTGATCAACTTCTTCATCTTTCAGCAAATTTACATAATTATCAAGACCTTCTTCAGTTAGCTTTTTCCATATTAGATCTGTATATTAAAAAACATGAACGAACTATGCACGGATATAAGAGAGTTATTCAACAATCTAACCAAACATAGGTACAAATACAGAAGTTAGGTGATCTTTTTTTCTAAATGAATAGTTTTTGAGAAAAAATCGTATTAGCATCATACGTGAAAAATTTTTGATACTCAAATTTAAAAATCGGTACAGTCAATATTGTGAAGCTAGTCCTCATTCTTAAAAAAAACTATTTAAGTTTCATACCATACTGACACATGCATTCTTATTCGACGTACGGATAATACATTTAAATTTGAAAATAAGATAAAAACAATACATAAAATATGTGTGTCAAAAAGTAACCTTCCGTAATATTTTGTTTCCGGTGATGACAATACGAGTCACAGGTGGCAACTTTTGCTTCTGATGTTTTTCGCGGATTCCGTCCCATCTCTTTTATTTGTTTCGCACGGCTGAAGGAAAATTGACGATTGAGTACGTCAAGCGTTGGCGTTGAAGCACTCCTGCAGCATGTAACAATGACAATATAATTGCTTTGATAAAAAAATAGCTTATGAAATCTTTCAAATACACGACATAGTTTTATAGACAGTAAAAACAGCCACTATGCAAATTTCTAAGAAATTTAAATAAAAATAAATATGCTACTGACAACGCAAAAAGGAATTCTCACTAGACAATTGTATGACGTAAATACAATCTTTAAAATTGAAACTAGGGAAAACAGACTTTTTGCTTATGGCATTACTTAATTGCAAGTCGGTTTTAGTCAAACATTTTTTTACTTCTTTAGGCGTTCACCATCTTTGATTGAAAACGTGTACTGATTTAGGGATAAACGTGATGGCGAACTGCGGCCATCATCATCATCGTAGAGATCCTTACATTTAATAGTTTCACGTGATTTACTACGATATCGTGGCATGGTACCAAGTGTATATGTAGAAGCACGTTCAAGTGACGAGTAATAACGTAAACGCATAGACGGTGAATAATCTAAAATTTAAAATATAGCTGAAGTGCTGTTAGAATTTTGAAGACAAGTTGTTAGAAGATGTAAAATTTCGTCCTTCTAAAATATCTATCGGGAACTTCATTCTTAAAGTAGTAGATTCTTATGTATCACTGTATACATGGAAGATAAAGCAAATCAATACTGTCTTACCAGAAGCTGACGCTGAAGAGCTCACTTCTCGTCTACTGTCATAATCATAAAGACGTTGTGTTTGAACTGTTTTCATCCCACCTGAATTCCGATTTGGAAAACGACATTCCTGAAATTTCTTTCTTTTGATTATCGAACATTTTACTCAAGTATTTTTTTAATGTAGGCAAGGTCTCAGTGAATTTGGAATGAAATCAAAAAGGGAAAAACTTAAACTTTTCACATTAATTTTTTTTAAAACACATTTTTGACAAGATTTCGGATATTTAAAACACTAAGATCAAACACTTTACATAATACAAATGTGCATTCATTTGAGCAGTAGACAAAAAGTCCCGGGGTTTTTGATTAATAGTGGTACATGCAGACAATGCATTATCTGGAGATGGTGTATATTTGGTCAAGTTGTCTGAAATGTTATTCTCAAAAGAGGAAACCACTGGTAAATTGAGAAATCCTTGACTGGCACAAATCTAAAATAAAAATTTTTAACTTTTCGTGATACATTTAGAAATCTTTAAAAGCCTGGAAATTGTTATTAGATTTGTTTTTAATTAAAAATACATCACTTTCAATAGTACTTCATTTTTGAAGTTTATTTGAAAAATCTATTTCTAGTAAATCTAAATAGAAAGAAATACTATGGCTAGGAACCAATGAAAAATTAAGCTCAAATAATACATAGCTTGCAAGCAAAGGTGAAGGTGAAAATTGAGTGGATGTCCTTTTATAACAGTAATCAAAAAAAGGACGCAGAAAAGAAGCATGAACGCAAAATCTCTCTTAAGAAGAACTACAAAGTAGGTAATAAATGTTCTTTAACTAAAATAACCATACTTCAGCAACATATCTAGCAGTTTTAATATAGCAGTGCAAATGATCGTCACTTTCCACTTTATCCTTCCCAATCGACCTTAAGATATCATGGGCCAAAATAAAATCTTGGCCACCATACTGATGAATTCTCACTAGTCTGGCCAAATGAGCCTTACTGAAGTCTGGCTTTCCCTTACTATCCAGGCAATCTGTTGAATTTGTTACAAAGCCAACGTGGCTAGATAGTTTATTCAACTGAAATGTCAAAAAAAAGTTTGTCAAATTATTTAAAAATCTTAAACTTGTCACAATAATCACTAATCTTGAGAAATTTGGTTCACGAAAATAGGATTCATGGTTACAATTATTGTGAAAATATAGAAAATTGTAAATATCAAACAGAAATAACTTACAGATTTGCTTCTCCTAAATTACATTTAGCAAATTTAAGTGTAGCAGAATAGCTTGATAAGATTTTTCATTATCGTGATACATAAACTTTGATCCTTAGATTTATTCTGATTAGCTCACACATTTCTTAAATTCAAACTGAAAGTATTAAATTTCAAAAATTTGCATACAATTTTTGTCCTACTGTTATGGATCACACGACTGAAATGTTGATGCTGATGATGATGAACATGAACATCAATATGCAGCGGAAAATTTGTTCCAAATTCCAGTCGTTCTTGTAGCAAGCAGAGCAAATCTGCATTGATATTTCCTAAAAGTTCACTAAATTCTTGACAGAAATGCAAAAGAAGAACTGTTAATCTTCCGGTATCTCAAACGTGATGATCAGCAAAAATGAAAATTAAGCTTTTGCTAAGAAACTTGACCTTACTACAATTCACAAAAATCAAGTGTGAACCAACAATATTTTCGCTAAACACGGCGCTTACTTCTATTTTTTAAGTCTGATGATCCTTTGTTTTATGTATCATGCCGCATGTTTAATGTTTGTATTTTAAAATGAAATGACATGTAAAAAAATAATCATGTTATTTATCGAAATTGCAGTATAATAAGGTATTCCAAAAACTTTAGACATTACTAAAACTCTGACCACACTGCCTTGAAAGATAAAAAATCCAAAAGTAGATAAAGAAACAGAAATCACTTTACCTGATGCAAAAGCATAATCGACGGCTGTAAATCCATCAACAGACATTAATGAAATATCAGCACCAATTCTTACGAAATAATCCATAACTTCATAATCTCTGAAAAATAAATTTTTATATAAACTATTTTGCAAATCTTCAGTAGCATAAGGCTGTACTTCTGGCTTCAAATAGCTTTAAGTATTGAAATGTCTCGAATATTGAATTTTTACTTTTTTGGTTCTTGAAAATCTTAATCGAACATTTCTTTTGCAGCTGCTATGTTCAAAAATTTAAAGATCACTTAAAATACCAATACCTTTGGAGACAGAATTATTTACAAAAACACCCCACTATTCATAAACTTACACTCTTGATTGCTCAACCAGTCACTTTTATGCGATAATTTAACTTATTTTTCAATTAATCTCAATTACGAAGGATATTGTGCCTTACCCAACGATGGCAGCAAACATCATAGCTGTAAGTCCAGAAACGCTTTCTGCAGCATTGACATCAGTAAAACCCGACTCGTAGATTGCTTTTACCTGTATGGGATAATAATTTATTGTAAAGTTTCATGCTATTTATACAAATATGTTGAATGAAATGCATTTGTGTCTGCACAGAATTTAAAGGTGACTTACGACACTAATATCAGCCATTAATACAGCATACATTAATGGTGTAGTATTCTCTGGTAGTACAATGTACGGCAAACGTTTAATGAGCAGTGTTCGCAGAGCATTTTCATCTTTCTCATAAATAAGTTGCCGTATATCAATTTCGATCGGTTCTTCATCTTCAAAAAACATCATATAAAAGATGGGATTCTAACTCGAGCCAATTGCAATAATAATGATTAGCTCAGAGCAACACATTTGCTGTAGAAATTAAAAATAAATATTTTATTTGTTCTAAACTATATCCTAAGGATTGCTAAAATTTATTACAAAATTTATTTTCTGCCTATAAATAAGTGGGTAATAGAGGATGAATAATTACTTTTCTTGGCAGTTCCAACAGTTAAGTTAATAATCGGTAAAATCTCATTCCTTTTTAAATATTGCGCAAGTTGACTAGCTGTTAGACCATTCAAAGAGCGATATGATGAATTTGCACCAAGTTCAAGCAATGCAGCAACAACTGTCGTTGCACCACATGATATTGCAGCTGAGAGAGCAGAAAGATTGGAAAGCCGTTGGATATTTGCATCCAAATAAGCTCCTCTACAAGTTTAATTCTTGTTATCTCAAAATTGAAACATGCTTAAGGATAAACAAATAAAACACTTCGCTACTATCACAAGACTTCAACCTAAAAAACCTATCAAGCTACATTAAAATATTTTTTATGAACAATTTTGTGCAGAAATATGATTTCAAAGTTCCCGTTTACTATTTAATCCAGTTTGTAACTGATACCTGTGAGCTAATAGTGCACATATGTGAGTGTGTTTCCGAAAAGAAGCAGCTATTAATGGAGTTGGGCAAAGCGCCGTATGCGAAGGATTGATGTTCACACGTAAATTAAGTAGAAGCTTAACCACTTCTGTGCGTCCATTTCCAGATGCTAAGGTTAAAGCAGATGCGCCAAGATAGCTGTAAAATATCATTCACTTTATCGAAAGTGACGTCACTCTGTGATGTCATTTATCATAATAATAACTTCTAATATGGACTCTACACTAATTGCAATGCAACCTTTATGAGTGTACAGCACCCAGTTCGCGTCGCATAAATAAACTTCAAGTCACAGTACTTTTGATTTGAGAAAAAGACAATAATACTTTGCTCTAAAATAGTAAGTGCGTTTAGGATAAGATTGGCTGTCAAGTGTGCCTTTATTTTGTGTACGTTTCACACAACCCTTCCTTCTCTTCAGGTAATCTTGACGACTACACTTAACTCTATGAAGGCCCTGGACTTATCTTACAACTTTTGAGCATATCCACGGAATTGTAAATTTGAGCATGCTTTTTTCTTATCTGACGTATTTCTCTTTATTTTGCACGGTTTTTCTCTCTCTCTCTTATTGTCTATTTGTCTCAAATCCTATACTGTTTATAACATTGTATTGAACGTATCAGCACGAGCTCGAGAGGAATCATTTTATCAGTTGTCTTTCAAGCTCAAACTACTTTGGTGTTAGATGGCTTGACGTATTTTCGTACGTTAGTTTTTGGAAGTTCGCACCGCGTTGAACGAGCACTCGAATGATATTAGAATGTCCATTTCTTGCTGCGTGGTGCAAAGCTGTCATGCCCACTTGATTTGTTTTTTCAATATCTGCCCCTCGATCGAGCAAGTACTGCACCTGAAAGTCAATCAGTTGAACCCTTTTATTGCTTACTGATGGCTTTTAATTTAGTTTCTGAATCATTTAAGCGTCCTACATTGATCATTTTTGGCAAAGTATATTTTTAAGATTAATTCATGCCACGCTTCCCCAACAGTAACTCTGTTAAAGTTTATGATTTATCGATAAATAAAAAACTTGGAAGAGTATTATATTTAGTTTATGCTCAAATCTAACAATGCCGATATTTCCCGTAGCGGCAGCCATCTGTAACCCATTAACGTGATCATCATCAAATGTATCAACATGAAATCCAGATTCCACTGCGTGGTGTACCTCCTCCAGATTCCACGCTTCACAAGCCGACAGAAACTGCTCAATAGTGACAGAGCACATCAATATTTATTAATGTGAAGTTTCCTTTTTGAAAATTTTCACTCTCGATATTCCTAAAAATTTTCAAAAAAATACAAAAGTACTATACAACACTAGTTTTACAACATTAAAGCTTTCATTTGTCATAAAACAAATTTGATATATCAACATGGAATGCAAGACTTGATAGTACTGCTGCTTAATTTGTTAACAATTCACTTATTTTGCAATAAGCGTAATAAAGATTGTCTTTACATGCTATTTTTTGACGTATGAAATTTATGAGTTCATATAAATTGTGCGCTAAAAACAAAACACAGTGTTAGTGTAAAGTAAAGTTAGTTTATTCTGATGATCATGCAAATTCGACTGCAAATTAATGTCAAGTTGCTGAAACTAAAAATTGGAGTTCTGTGTGCCGGCTGTAAAGGACGTGAACTAGCATTAATTTTATATCATTAGACCCAACAAATTTCGGGAACTATAGCATTTCACTTGTATTGTTGGTGTTTTGTTATAAAGCGAATAAACAGTCACTCGCAAGCTCGCACTTATCCAACTCAAGACAGTTGCAAACAAAAAAGAATCTTCTCTGTGAGTTGAGTAAATGTAAGTAACTATTCCGTTGTTTAGTTGCAAATTAAAAAAAGATTGGCACAGTTTGTTAAAATTTACAATCTTTTAAAGCTTTTTAGCTTACTTAGAACTAATTAATACGTGAGTGTATTTGTTATGGCAAAGCACCACACACGATGTGCTCATATTGCAAACATTTATGTCATTTTCTGATTGTGTAAAAAACTAAAAATTAAGAGAAAATAGACAAATGATATTTATTTTAGCACACAGATGTGTGGAAGTGTGCATACGGAGGTGGAATGCAACGAGAATAGTTGGTTATGTTGTATTGCACAACTAAACACAAACGTAAATCGAGCGGCATTGCAATAATACATACACTCGCGCATCTCTTCTTGTCTTCACTAAACTTCCTCATCAGTTATGCATTTTCAATATTTTGATAGAATTTTTATCGTTTCTTGGTAGAAAAAATTGCTAGTGCCTAAAAAAGTTGCGTAAAAATCATAAAACACAAGAATTATATTTTATTTTTTTTTTTAGATTTTCAGATATCATTTCATCAATCACCATCACCATCATTATCTACTCCATTCATTCATCTGTGCTTCTGTTTATTTATTATAAAGTGTAATAAAATTTTTTCCATTATTGATTGGCGATTGTGCAAGAAATTGATCTGATCAAATTCTCAACCATAGAGATAGCAGTACTTTTAATTGATCACATAAAGTGATGGACATTTTCTTATTGTAATCAACACTTCACTTCTGTTCTGTTGAAATTTATTATAAATAATCACTTAGAAAACCAATCATAATAAATGGACAACATAAGAAGAAGTAAACTTCTAGGACTGTATTCCTGGAGTTTCATTTTGTGCTGACTCGTTGCTTATTTGTTCGCTGCAAGCATTCAGAAAATTGTTCACTTCGAACAAAATTTTCCTGGGGATTTTTTTGTGAGTTACCAAATAATGCATTATGTGTTTGTGCACCCCCAAATATTGTTTCCAGGACTGAAAAAAAAATCAATTCATGGCAGTTTTTTGCAATTACTTTGTTGTTACACGTGCTTGAAGTTGCCGTATTCCACATGTAATCTATGGCAAATTTTGCTGTCCTCAATTACAGTGATTCAAATGAGCATAATATTTTAATGTATTATGAATAGCAGTATACAAAAGACAGAGCACAACAACTTGGTATCATGATAATAATGGTTTTCTTGATAAATGGTATGAGATTTTTCCAAGAGACTTTGTGAATAATATATAGTAACACTGACGAAAATTTAAAATATAAAGTAACTGAGAAACCTCTAGTTACATGGAATGGACACTTCATGGCTTCTCCAGTATTTCGAATTTATTATTATTGAATTAATGTAGTGATTTGGTTTATTATATCAGCAGAAGCGATCTTTATACATAAACAAACTCACATTAACAGCTTGGGCACGTTGTTTACGCAAATTTGACAGTAAATCTGCCATATCACATTTTTGACCCTCACTTAGCATTTCAAGCACTAATTCAATGACCAAAAATGTTGCTGAACGACCAACACCTGTTGTGCAGTGAACTGTTATTGGATGCCTGAGAAATCTACGATGAAACGCCAAAATTGTAAAAATTTGTGAAATTTTGGCAAATGACAATAATAATTAACAACAGATAATAATAGTTTAGTTGAAAATTCAATTTTTCGGATCTTTTATTGAAATGATTATATATTCTGGCCCATATTTATTTAATACATCTAACTACATTTCCGCTTTAAAAAATAACCGATATTAGTTGCGTTGCTTATTGACTGAGCTTTATCACGTTGCATTTTAAATTTTGAAAAGTCAAATAGATCACAAGGAGATGCTTTTTAGAAAATAAAAACGCTTAACGTTAAAACTGAATAACTTTATACTTTGACCGCCTAATATCTTTGCCGATCCGACGTAGCATCTCGAAAGACGGTGACGGCATTTGATCGCTCCATTCAGGCCAGTAAAAATGTGTACAGCTGTGAGGTCCAAGACGAGAAATTATGCGAAGTTTACTTTTAGTCGCTGTATAATTTACGTAATTTTCCTCTACAACAATCTAGAAACAATCAGTTCACAGAAAAACAAAAAGATTTGCATTGCATAGTGAAATGGGATAGGTTTGAGTACAGTATTTTTTTCCTTACTAATTTTATCAAAAGTGATTACAATCAAAATAACGTTCCCATCAAAAAACACGATTCAAATATTTCAAAAAAAAGCCACTACACTTTGAAATAATTTGTACTCATAATATAATTCATGCAAGGAGAAAGACAACTACTTATAACCCATACCATCAGAGAAATTTCTTTCAACACCTCGTGAGGAAGAAATGGTATTCGGGTGAAACAAGAATTACAAAGTAATGGATAAATTTGAGCATCTAATCGCTCATCCCAAAGTACTTCATCTATTTTTATAAATTTAAGCTTGTGCTAATGATTTCTATACTGTGCTAGCCTCAGGTGGCTAGCTAGGAATTGAACTATAATGACTCTAGCTTCATACACTAATTCTGACAGTGAACCTTTGTGATCTCAGTATTTCTCACTTCCGTATCACCGTATTCCATTCGTTGTCCTTCTTCTCGTGGCCAATATTCGGCACAAACAGACATATTATTTTCAACAAAATCACAAAGCATAACAATATATTCACATTGTGCTTGACATATCATACGCCAAAAATCCTCAGTTGTCGTTTCTAGCGGAGCCTAAAATTCATATTTGAGATATTATTAAGCAATAATGATTTTATTCTTGTAATTTATTATTCACAAGTTTTTGGCTACAAACTATCTGTAGAATTTCTGCTGTAAAAATAACTACTATTAATTTTATTTCATAGGAACCATTTGCTCTTCTGAATACTTTATTAACTTGTATGTTTATTATTGATTTATGAAAGTAATACAGAGTAATGCTGAACAATAATAATCAAAAAACAATCAAATCCTTGCAATAGCCAATTGACTTGTTCAAACGACTATTTCGACCTGTGTGCAAATAAAACGTTTCTTATGTTTTCCGGAATGAATGAAATTGGCGTTGATATAATTTGCTTCAGTGTCAACGTTCTTTAAAATAACGCGTGTTTTTTCAATACAACCAATATCCTAAAGTAATGTTCACTGAGTACAAACAATTTACGGTTTTATTTAAAACTTTGTAGAACAGATTAAAGTGGTCTGGCTTCTGTAGAATAATTGTTCAGTAATCAGGGAACTTTTTTATTCTTTGACTTTTCTAAAAATTATATCTTTTGGTTTAAAAAAAGAAGGTATTTTTGAAAAATTGCTCGAACTTATATTCCAGTTATGCTTCTTAATATTACTTACAGAAGTATGTTATTGATAAAACAGCAAGGGTTTGACGTAAATGCTATAAAATGTTTGGAAAAAGAACGGAAGTGCAAAGTAAACTTGAAAGTGTTATACTCGATAGCGGTTGCGTTCATCTTCAGGTGATCCATACAGGATTTCCATTATCGGAGTTTGATTTAATCGCTCATATTCAGCCTTAATACCAGTAACACCTTTATCAAGTACATGTCTTATCCACGATACAATCTATGAAAAATGAAATTAAATTGATTTTGGTAGTCATGTGCAACTAAGCGTTGTAATTAAAATATTGCCATTTATACCAAATCAATTAATTTTTTAAATTTCCAGTAAGACTAAAAATATTTTTAATTCATTACATGAAGCTGTTAATGGCCAACGCGATCATAACCATAATCATTATTCATTATTATTATTATTATTATTATTATTATTATTATTATTAATAATTATTAAGGAATTTAATAGCACAAATGTAATAAAAATAAGAACAAAAAAGCAATTATAACGAATTTTTATATCAGCAAAAATTTCCCTCCATTTTAAAGAACTGTTTAGTTTAATCTAAAAAAGGAATTCTTTTTGGAATATGTATGTGGAAAGGATGAACTGAAGAGCGAGAAAATTTGTGCTTGAGAATTCACTTAATTTTTGGGAAAATTTAATTACTTCAAGTAAAATACGATGTTACTTCTATTTAAGCTGAAGATTAATAAAATTAACGTGAATATGATAATTATGCAAATTAATAATCCTACTGCTTCTCGAATTTTCTCCTTCTTTCCTTTTTCGGTTACTTCACTACCACTATTTCCAGGCATTTTCTTGCTGTCGACTGTTTTGTTCGATGAATGTGTCTCATCAGGCGTTACAGAATTCCCATTCTCACTGATTTCGACTTTTTTTGCAGGTGAGTTTTTAGGTACTGTAATTAATTCTATTAAAGGATTGCGTTTTTGACCAGTACGCTGATGTCGGTGATAATTGTAATGAAGGTGGTGACGACGATGACGACGACGACGATGACTTCCTCGACTATGACTGTGTTCTGTAAAGCATTAAATTTAATAATAATCTTCAGATACACAAATATAAACAAGAACTTGAAACAGTTTAAACAATGGTAAATTAAATAACGGTACCAACCAAATTACAGCTTTCTCTCAGTTTAATATTAAATATTCAAAAAATCAATTTTCAAAAATTAATTACAAATATGAACTAATTTCCTTTTTTCAATATTAAATTAAGTTTCATTGTCTTGTTCTTACGATTCCTTCTAAGTGATAGGTTTAAACAGTAATCCTAGTCATTTATGCAGTAATTTTTATGCTTCAGTATATAGCAAGTATAGTACATGTGAATGACATACTTAATCTTTTTGACTTTAATGGTTTCTGTAGTGTTGCTGGGAGTGAAGGAAACCTATTGCTGGAATTTTTCTCTTGAGACGAAATTGATATGTTATCTGCGCTATAATTTTACTTTCTGATTTATGAAGTAAGTCAATTAACTAATTGTTAAGTGTGAAAAGAGTGATTTTTAAATACAAGTGATTTCTTAAAATTTGTTTGTACTCCACCTCATTCAGTTATGCTACTCAGTTGATTAATGTATTATTTATGAAGCAATAAACTGTAAATCTAATTTATTTGGTTTTTTAACGATTTTTTTCTCAATATATACCAAAACGAATTTAATACAATTTTGTGCTACAAAAAAAATGACGTTGTTGTCGACAGATAAAATATTCTACGAAATGGCAATTGAAACCATTTGAACTACAAAATTATGATTAAACTAGTTTTTGATCATGTCAGAAGTCAACTGCGATTAGTCTGAGCTTTCTTGCAGATTTAAGTTTCAGTAGCACATTATCCTGCAAAAGGCATACTTTTCATTTCGTTTAGGTAATATTACATCGGGACTACTCGATACTCTGCGATCCATCTTTGAAAGATAAGGAAAGCTGCTCAGGTGGACAATCTAACAAAATAATAGCAGTTACTTGCCTTCACTTTTTTATACTCACTATTTGTCTGGAAAAAAATAAAAAATTGCATGATTATTTGTTCATGCAAATTGAGTACCATGTTCGTGAAAAATTACATATTCAATTTACTGTCTTATTATCTTCGGACATAGTTAAAAATGAAATCAGTCATCAAGCAATTAAACAATTAATTTAATTGGTATAAGTGGAAAAATTAGTACTAATTTTAAATAACCTAAAAAAATACATAAAAAACAAATGTGACTTATTAGTCTGATTAATTTAGACTTTTATTTATTTTAAAGTCCAGCTGTAATGGGACAAAATCTGCTTGCAGCTTAGACCTTTAATGGTCTATTATTGTCACTGTTATTTTAAGTAATCGTTTTGATATCATTATCGCTATAAGTACTATGCTTGTTACTGTTGTCAGCATTACTATTACTGCATATTATCTAGCAAATCCTTAAATCTGCATATTATTCTGCAGATCCTTAAATGTAGTGAATTAGATTTTGGAGAAATGAAGCAAAGTGAAAGGAGATGCCTTTCAAGGGTTGTCATGGAGACAGTAAAATACTCGTGTAAGTGTATTGCAATAGATGGTTCTTTCCACTTGCATTATTTAAACGTCATATGTCAAACTTTGTATGGATCATAATAATCTACGATAAACTTTGCAGAGAGCAAAATTTGAGTGCTCAAATTTTCGCTCATTTTTTAGTTTTATCTTTTTTTCTTGCTCTAATTGCTTAGTATAGTATTTCATTTGAATTGATATGATATATATATTAAAGAATATAATAGTACTTGGGAAAAAATTTGCTTGTTTATCATCATCGAGTAATGCAACTTGACCAAGTAAATGTATTCTGTAAGCAGTCAGATCTTACCTCCGAAAACAAAATAGAATGAAATGAATGAAACGATAAAGTCCGAAAATTAATTAATAACAAATCCGACTGGAATTTTATCAGCAAGTTTTTTCTCTGAATAATATTACACCATTAAAATTCGCTCCCATTAGTATCATTCTAAGATATTGTCATAGAAATATACAAATCTTTTACATGTAAGCCTAGTTAAGCATCAATTTTGAGAGAATAATTTTATAGATTTTATAGCTTATCAAAGCTTCTTTTGTTTGCCAAGCTCTAAGTATGTCTTATCATTACTAAAGTCTGACTGATTCAAATTATTTATTTCTAAAGTTATAACAAACTTTAGAATACTAAAGTTATAACAAACTTTAGAATAGATGCTAAACGATTCATTTTTACTTTTACTCACAATACTATTAAAATAATACCATGAATCGCACCACTCACGGCATCACCGATTTTTACCGAATTTACCCTGCATACTTCAATTGTTGACATGAGTTCGAAAAATATTGATTAAAATTGGCTGATATTAGCTGGCTATTCTGAGAGACCGCAATGACTGCTTCAACAGGTCAAATGTTAGCAGATCGATATTTGATGACGAGACGACTCGGTGATGGAAGTTTCGGCGAGGTTTTACTTGCTAAAAAGCTCGATACTGGTGACAAGGTTGCTATCAAAAGGTTTCTATCGAATTTTTCCGCCTGTATTATATTAAAATTGCAATTTTTATTCAAATTTTTATTCTTGCGAGCTTGCAAGGTTTTGATTTTTAGAAGAACTGTTTGATTATTGTTAAAATTTGGTGTTTACGCTTTTTTTTTTCTACTATTAATTAACAATTTTATCATTTGAGGATGAAAAAAAAGTTTTATTCTTGGGATGAAGCAATGGCACTGCGAGAGGTGAAATCCTTGAAGAAGTTAAATCATCCAAATATTATCAAATTACGTGAAGTTATACGTGAACATGACAATTTGTATTTCGTTTTCGAATATATGCAAGAAAATTTATATGAGCTCATGAAAGACAGGTAAAATTTTGAACCAGTGTTAAAATCTTGATTAATCGCGATTGCACGCACAACCTGAAACAGCAGATGCTATATTTATAAAAATAAGTACTACACAGTGGTTAATCTTCATTTCTGCATTTTTGACGCTGGCGCTTGATCAATTCTAATGCTTGATCGTATTCTGGGACTCTGACTGTACTCGTCCCTTGCTCAGTTTTCTTGTGCTAGTCTCCGTTGCTTCAACTTGGTACAGCCCACAACACTGATCGAATGAGATCTTTTCAAGTGTGTTCTTGAGGACTATCGATTGATATATGCCTCAACATGATCAGGTATACTGGTTTCCTTCGCGTAACGTCTATGGAAATTATTTACTATCCAAAGTCATAAAATATAATTGCGTCTTGCATTTCCCAGTTTACTAGCCTGCAGATCATACTTTTTCATTTTCTCGATCTCGACTGCTGCCAATCTGCTTTAACTAATAATGCCAACCTTCATCAGAACTACTTCATGTTGCGTCTTGTCATGGGTCATGATATGCGGCCAATCTGCACTTATTCTAATCGCTACTAGCGTGTTGACTGTTGTCTCTACGTTTTCGTGTCGATCTTTTGAACGGAATAGTTTCGCGTGCGCGGGAATGCTTTGCAGAGCCCCAAATGGGTGCATCACAGGACTTCATTGTGTCGTTTAGTGTAGACCTTGCAATGCGTTGCTAATAGTCGTCGACCGACTGTTCGTTACAGTGTTGACACACATCTTCCCTCTGCCCCATATTTGGTCTTGGAGGTAAAAGTATCGTGTCTCGTCTAGTGAGGTATTATTTCCGTGTCTCAATCACATTGATGAGCTGGTCGTTGAGGTTTGTTTAATACTGGGCACGTTGTATTGCATCTCAGTCTCGCAGATGTAAAAAACTGAAGTATGTTGAATTTATATCAGTTTATCAAACACTGATTTCACCTCAAATCTAGAAATCATTCTTCAATGGATATAATTCCCCACATTTTTCAAAAAAGTCGTCTTTTTATGGAATGTATAAAAACTTTCATAAATATTGCCGAAGGTGATTCTAACCTATAATCTGTTGCTTGATCATTTATTTGATTTATATGTTTTGAAGATCCTTGTCATTGGAAATGTAACGCGGAAATCTATTATTTATGCACCATTCTTCATCATAATCATGGCATTTTATATTAAAATAAGTGTTTGATAAACTTCTAGAGACAGATACTTCCCGGAACATATTATACGGAATATAATCTACCAGGTGCTTCAAGGCTTGGCCTATATGCACAAAAATGGTAAACATTTTGCGGTAACTGTAAGTGCTGATAAAAAGTTTGTGAACTGATAATAATTTCAATTGAAAATAATTTTAAAAAACTAAGGCAGGATGAAGGATATAAATTTTTTCTTTGAGAATGTAAGTAGCTTTAATTATGAACTGTAACATTATCAGGTTTCTTCCACCGAGATATGAAACCAGAAAACATAATGTGTAACGGAACAGAACTCATCAAAATTGCGGATTTCGGGTTAGCTAGAGAAATCAGGTCAAGACCACCATTCACGGATTATGTATCCACTCGTTGGTATATGATTTTGAATTTGAACAACTGCTTTCAGTTTCAGTGGCTTGAAGCATTCACTTCAAGCTATAGAAACTGAAAATTTTGAAATCTAATTCAACAGTGTGTATGGTAAACCGTAAGCATTTAGTGTTTAGAGATATATTCCATGAATATGTTTCACTTCCATACTTATTTCACTACAGTATGTCGAAATTTATTTAAACATAAGTGTTCGCTCCTTTGAAGTAATTCATGAAAACGAAAAGAGCACAATGTTCCACACTTCTCTTCATATTGAGAACTAAATTAGAAATGCTTGTAAGCAAACATGTGAATATGATGAATAACTAATGGCCAGAGTCAAAAATGTTAGAATGATTTTATCAAGTTGATAAGAAAAGTTATTATCCTGGGACTTGAGTTCTCCTGTAATTACAGAACTTCAAGTTCGAGCAACACTTTTAACTACAAAATCCTATATACCTTATACGCCTAAATTTTTGACTTGTGAAAATTCAATATTTTCAAAAGCATACCTTTCATTACTTTGGTATTTCCCCTAAGTGTACTTAAAAGCATTTATTGTTTTGTGAATGCATGGATACCCGCAACTCATTTTCAAGAATTTTTTGTGAGATTTTGAGCACAACAATTATATAACACTGTTATGTATCTGGCGGGCACTGCCCTTATAAGAATATATGGTTATGTATTGTTTTAATATACGGTTATATTGCTGTAAAAATACCAGTAGATATTTTTACAGTGATATTATAAAATTCATGCCAGTGATACAGATATGTGAACTCAAATTTAGCTTTGAATCAAAATGTTAACTGATCTAGTTAGCAGATCAGGCAGAAAAATAGGGTATTTGTAGGTATCGAGCCCCAGAAATTCTGCTGCGATCGACTTCCTACAATTCTCCTATTGATATTTGGGCACTTGGTTGCATTATGGCCGAACTCTACATGCTTAGACCATTGTTTCCAGGAACTTCAGAATTGGATCAACTTTTCAAAATCGTTACCGTACTAGGAACACCAAATAAGGCATGTCAATTTTAGTCTTTATTTGTATTATCAGAAGTAATTTGTTTAGGATTTCATACTCAACCTCAACAATTCTGCTACATAAATAACGGTTAACGTTAATTTTAAGATACTTTCTCATGCCACTCATTCATTCACTCATCTTCAAAGTCAACGTAAGTAAAAACTTTGCAAAAATACTCAAATTTATGTGGATATAACACGATTACTGCACTTGACATTATTTGCAAATGCTAAAAATGCATACAGAAACTTTTCAAGAATCAGTATGAGTTATTTACTACGCCAATAACTCACACTCAATCCCAAATAATATTAAACATAAAGATTGCTAGTGTGATATCGAGCAAGAAGATAAACTCTGATCGCAAATAATATTGAAAATTTGACTAGCATTAACTTCTGCACAGAAATCAAAGTTGAATTTGCAGGAAGAGTGGCCCGAAGGATATCAACTTGCCATTGAGATGAACTTCAGGTTTCAACAATGTGTTGCAACGCCTTTTGCAGCAATTGTGAGTGCAGCAAGTGACGTTGGCTTGAAACTAATGGCAGTTCACATAGGCTTTGAAACAAGCTCTCACTACTCATGCAAAGCAATTCATTGTCTTTTTTCATGAGCCTTCGTGATCTGTTACGTAAGTTGAACATATTAAAGACAACACATAAGCGAGACTGAGCATACATAAAGGACAACAACACATATACAAGTCTGGGCACACACAAGGGGCTAGGAACACATGTGTTTCTGGTCCTCAACATGTGCGTCGTCCGTTATAAGGAACAGTACACACGTCGGATTAAGCACATATGAGGGATATCACACACATGCGGGACTAGGCACATGAAGGACAACCCACATATATTTGGGACTAGAGCACATAGGGGACTACGCACACATGGTGGATAAACACAGATTAGGAACAGCACACACATAAGATACTGAGCACACACAAAGGACAACGCACAGCAGACAAACTTAAGGGAAAACACACACATAAGGGACATGACACATACATTTCATTTTGCGATGTACTTTCCTCCACAAATTATTTGGGCAGTATAAAACAGACCTTTTATTGGAAGAATACTGACTGCAAGCACAAATAAAATTAGATGTTCGTTTAATTTCGAAAGAGCTTTACAAGGTTTCGAGGATTCTATTCAGAAAGGATTTCAATTAAGAGATGAAACAGAATCGTTTAAGCGCATTAAACGATTCTGTTTCATCTCTTAATCATCATATTGTTTATTGTGATTATGTCTGGAAGTAGTAATAACAAATGGTGATTAATGCTACTTTTTCAGAGTATAGGAAAAAAAATATTTAAATTGTAATGTTGTATTGTAATGCATTTTGTTCTTACAATGACTATTTTTCAGTAAAATTTCATTTTTCAACAAGTTCGTTTGTTAAACTGAATGATCAAAAGACTGCTCACGGTTCCAAAACACTTACACGATAATATATTAAAATACAACACTGATTCTTTAATGAAACAAATTAATGTTATCCACCCATCCATCCACCATCTATTCATTTTTCGATGAACTTACCACTACCGCGATCCAAGCAAGTATTATGATTATGGATAACAACAATTCAAAACCATAAATGTATAACTGGATAGGTAAATGAAATCAGTTAGAATGCCTAAATTGATCAAAACAATTCCGAATCATGGGAAAAACAAATGTTAGAAAACAATTTCGATTAATGTATTAAATTCATTTTGTTTCCATTTAAAACGGGATGATTAAATTCAAGAACAAAATAAATTTGCTTTTCTAACATTTTTGAAGCTTTAATTGCGTTATTCGAATCCTCGTTTTAATACACAAAATTTTTAATCAGAACTGTTATTATTATTGATTAGATAGTTGGATTAATATTTGCCAATTTTATCGTCGTATCATATGATTTTAGGATCTTCGATTATATATTTTATCACATTTCAATAAAATGTTCAATCAAGATTGTCAGACCATGAGACCAAAGACATCTTAATTTATACTTGATTTTAGATTTCACGAATATAAAGAATAGTAAATGAATAAATAGCAACTCAGTACAAGATTATTCTCACAATTTTTATTAGTAAATGCAAATAATGAATGAATAACTCATAACAGCTGATAATTCATTATTTTTCTTCATGTAAATCAAATACAACAATGTAATTGAATCGTAAATCAAATACAACAATGTAATTGAATCGCACTGAAAATTCTAAAAAGTGTACTTGTAATTTCTTGAGTATTCAAATATTATGCTAGCATGAAGATAGAAAAGTATAAAAGATATACGGTATTTATAGAAGTGTTAATTTTTCAGAGTATAGGAAAGCTGTCGTTTGAAGTAGAATTATAACAAAAGTATGTAGCTATCTGTCTAATTGCAAGCGAAGTATTTTTTGGATATCAGATTAGGTAGTAGAATTAATTTATTTGAATGTAAACAAACTTTGAATATCTCAAAAAAGGTTCCAGAGATGAGAATGAGTCCAAATATAACTAAGGTAGTAAGTAAAGAATTACTAAGGAATTTACTGCATTTTTTTATTCACACCATTTCAACTTTTCTAATAATATTAGCAATTTTTTTATTGTTTATGATAAAAGTATTAAATTCATCAAATAAAATGGCACTAGTAGTAGAGTTTCAGCACTGATTTCTATAATACTTGATGATGATTGCTATAATATTAAATTAAATGATTATAGTGATGTCACCTTTTTATATTTATAACACTTCATATTATCATCATCATTTTCGCTAATTACATTAACGATATTTGTAGTTGGCTTTGAAAAATTTTTAGTAAATCCTTACTACTTTCTATTATTAACATCAACATATCATCACGATCATTTTCACTGATCTCACTCATAACACCTGTTAGCAATTGTGAAAGTATTGCTATCATTATTTTCATCATTATTATTGGTATTATTTTCTATTAATACAATTGTTATCATTGTTATTATCATTATTGTACTTATTATCACTATTATTATTGTTAATAATAATAATAATAAATAATGATAATAAATAGTACCCAAAATCGGGAAAAAATGTTTCATATGAGAATATTTCTCTCACTGTAATAATTATCAAATAGGAAATTGATGGAATCACAGATGGAAGGAGGATGAGCTTCTTCTAGATGTAGTAATCAGACTCATCTATTTGAAAGAGAAGGGTTGAGCTTGTGAAAACTAAAGCTTACAGATGTTATGACAAGAATTAGAACTGGCATTGGGGTAGCAGTAATTAATTATTGCCGCTAACGAGGGGTGAATGGACTGGTGTGTGTGTTTGTGGGAATATATGAATAAACTGAACTCTAGAGATTTGGAGCTCACGTGGAAAGAATGTTTGTGATGGATTTAGAATGGTTAATGATTAATCTAAGTCTTGTTTGTTCAAAGGTGAAAGTGCTGTATGAAAAGCATTCAGTATGAATGATCTATGCATCCAAACAGAGTCGAGTTGAGTAATGAATTGATGGCAGGCAGCGTGTAAAAGGAGACAGAAGCACTGTGAATTGGCACTCTCACACGTCATTTGCGTGAGTGCATGAATGTATGATCAAAGCTTGGCTTTAAAGGTAGTCATAACAAGCTGAAATACACATTTGCGAAACGAAAAAGGAAAATAAATGACAATTTTCACTCATTGCAATTTGTATTGTTATAGCCTATCGATGATTAATCATGGTCGAAAGTTTTTCTCTCGTTGTCTTACTATGTGCTCCTATGATCACATCGAAACCGCTCAATAATTGCAACAGTTTATACATATGGGCAAATCTATGCATTTGACGTAAAGTCTGGCTCTCCTACAGTTGACCGCGTAAATCTTTCGCCTTTTACTAAAGATTTCCGTGTAGGAGAGCATTGAAGATATTCCATGAATTTTTGGAAGTCCCTTAGGGGACAGAGAATATGGCGGGTGGATTGTAGGCAAAGCATAGGGTATTGTTGGGGGGTGTGCCGTATGGTAGATAGTGTTAGTGAGATTGCTGGTGTGTTAGGGGTTGTCAGAGGTGGGATGAGGCGTAAGTTTTACGTCCCTGACAACATTAGTATACTGTTACTGTGGAAAGTGAAATCAATCTATGACAAGGTATCAAAAAAGAAGCCTGAATTGGAGCACAGTCGCGCATATGTTCTATTTTTAATTAAAAACAAACGCAAAGATCTCGATTGATGAGCGAAAGCGTAACATGCATTTACGTTGAGACAGGAATAAAAATGTGATATTAGAAACAGTGCTATTTGACGATAATGATTTTCTTTCCGATTTTTCTGCATGTCTATGGGGAGAGGCGTTGCATTGCTCAATTTACCTTCTGCTTAGCATTATCAGATGCATCCATTAAATCCAAGTACAATGGAGAGTAATACAGAGAAAAAAACAAACAATTTGACAACTTTGATTACTGATTTCCGTAGGGTAATATTCTTCACTGCTGTTTACTTTTGAATCACATAAATAGTGTAGGTACAAAAATGTGTCTAATTTGTTCTTCAGTATATTATATGTTTTGATCTCATTTTCTTTCTTTCGTATTTCGCACATTTTTGCGGTCAAATTTATTCATTCAATCAAGCCAGATTGCTGGAAAAACGTGCGTGATATAAAAATTTCGTGGTGTCTTGAATATTCGTTACTTTTGTGATATTATAGTTGTCTATTCAGTAGAGACCATTAACTACAGCTTTCGATTGTTATTAGTTTCTCTTACCACTGCTGTGCTAGGAAATATATGCATATGGAAACATGAACATGAAATATCTCAATTATCATTGCAGTAATTCTACAGTAAATTCTATATCGCTCATTTGTGGCATTGAATGGTCGTAATTAGTTTGAAATATTGATTTACGATAACTTTCAATGCTAGATATTGTGATCATTGAAGCCTCAGAAGCAAGAGTGTTCCGAAATGATAATTGGATATACAACATGGATAAAATCATAAAACTATTTATATAAAATCGTTTGTTCCATGTCTAGTAACCATTTTTCTCTTCTCTCAACCGGCCCTCGTCGTTTTGAACCACATTATTCACTTAAGACTCATGTCAGTTTTATGCTTCCAAACAATTCACTTATCACTTACCTTGCACACAATCGCAATATTTGCTTAACGAAAAAACAAAATCAGTCACGTAGATGCATACTTTTGCATGTGATTTTTATGTGTACGCCTGTTTATGTACCCTTCAGAATGTCACAATTTTAATGGAACTTGAAACAAATCATGCTAATAAGATAATCCTCAGATATTAAAAAGCCATTAAAACCCGACAGTGGTGTCACTGATAAGTTTTGAAATGATGCCGTTATCAATTTTAACTTTAATCACTGGTTTGCAGTCAGTGAGAAACAAATGAATGGATTTGAGTGTGGGAGATTTGTTTCTTCACATGTTTCAGAGTGCAATATCTGAACACGTAACTTACCAAATGGATACTCACAATTTGATGATCCTTTACTCTGGTGCTGTTGTATACTGTTAATTCGGTTTTGTATGTAAAGCGCAGTGTTAAATACTTTATCATTACAAAGCAAATAATGAGTATATACAAAAGATGCAGTAGATTAAAAACCATAAATAACTATGCAATAAAATTAAAAGGTATGAAAAGAGTAGATTCGAGAAAAGTTTTGAACTAATTGAACTAAAGTAACCAATACCATCGAAAAAGTTGCTTAGTTATCAATAAAAATCTTTATATTCTCTGTGCAATATATTTAGTTACGTTTACTGTAAATGTTTACTGGAAAAGCCAAGTTATGTCAGAACTGACATTGCAATCAAACCAACGCACATGATGCATTTTTAAGGTTCAAATATCGTAAACTTACGCAAATTTTAGTTTACATATTGTATTATTTAACCAATCTAAAATTTCAAAATTTCGTGCAATTTTGTGCATATATTTATTTGTTCTACTCCAAAATAAGATTAGATTAGATTATTCACAAATATTGAAGAAACACAACCGTTTTTGATTGAAACTAATTTCTGAGACTGCTTGTAGTATTCTAACACAAACTGACTGAATTACAATTGATGGATATGGGAGAGAGTTTCTGTGTGTGCGTGTGCGTATGTGTGTGCAATTAATCAAGAGGGTATGCCATCAAAGACTGTCAAAAAGGCTTAAAGCCCACAGATGTGATGAGGAGAGTTAGGACTAATCCAAACAACGACTGACTGAAACATTAGTCGATTATTCTTGCCATTGAAGAGATGTGAAGTAGTATGTATGTGTGAATATCCCAGGAAGTAAATCAAAACATATTTGGAGGTCAAGTAGAAGATGAGAGGTTAAGTAGAAAGGATAGTTGCGGTGTTGATGATTAAACTAAGAGTTGGTGGTTGTGCACGCATTTACGTGTGTGCTGGAATAGATAGTCTGAGCATGGCTTAAGAGATAGCTATATTAAGCAGAAATGTCACAGTGGATGAGCTGGTTGTCGTGGATCGAAGAGTATGAGTAGGACAGTGTGAGGAGTGCGTAGTTGCATGGACACTGTTTGGTTGAAGGTGGCTAAGCATTGAGGAGTGTCGGCGATGAGATGTCACGTAAAGTTCTAAGTGTTTGCCTCCGAATAACGTAATTCGTGCATTGGTGGTATCAGAGTGCAATCACCACTGTCTATTATCGCAGTTTCGCGCAGCTGTCACCTAAACAGCATTTTTTTACTGGCAAATTTTCGAAGAGGAAAATCATTATTACAGTTATTTAAACGGCTATGTATAAAATAAACAGATTGTTACACTTAAGATAGAAATGACCTCGATAGTCATGAATTTTAGAAGCTATTTATTAAATCAAATATAAATTGGATAAGTTTGAGTGTATTTCTGTTTTGCATTATGACGTTAACAGCATTTTTCTGATATTTGCAAGTACTCAGACTACAAAATGACTTTTGAAATTAGATGATAGCAAAACTGTTATGAATAAGCTTCGATGATCTATGTAGTACTCTCTTTATGCTGTGCTTCAGACATCTTAATCAGGAAAAACTTGCACACCGTTAACATTCTAAAAAGTTGAAGAAATTCCAGGAAATGAACATTATGGGAGATAGTCGGAAGTATTTGTACAAGAAAACAAAATTTTTTGTATCAGGGTACGGAAACTTTAATTTGTCGTATTGTCAACAAAAATACGCATGCAATTAAAGGAATGAAAAAAAAATTTGGGTTGCTAAAAAGTCGGAATAATTTCTTTAGGCGAATCAAATCAGCGCAATTATAATGCATTTGATCGGTAACTTTCTTCTGCACGTGTAATGAGTGATAAAGTTTGAAACTTTTTCAGTTGTAATTTCTGAATATTAATCGATTTGTGATTGTATTTGATTCTTAAAATTGGACGCTTTTCATGACAAGGTTAATGTACTTCTCAAATTATAATTTGAAATGAGCACAACGCATCAGTATTTTAAAAGTTGTGTATCTAGAAATACTTATTTTGAAAGGAATGAATAAAATAGGCAACATCGTAAAATTTGTTAAGTAGCTTTTCACAACCTCTTCTGCCTTCCCATTGTTTTCCACTGTAATTGTGCGCTTTTTCTCCGTTCATCCTCAATTTTCTTCTCGGACTTTTGATAAAGACAAGGTTGTTATCAATTATTTGAGTAATATAAATATTCATAACTCATTTTGCTTTATGTGATATTTTCCAACACTTAGCTTGATAGAGTATTAGAACAGAATTAGTAGAAAAAATATGTGCGTATAAAATTTTAATTTTTTTTAATGTTTCATAAAGGCATTAATTTTCGAGACATAGTGCCCAAAACCATTATAAATGACCCGAATGTGCCTCCTTATTATATTTTCCAACACATTTTTTCAAATATTTAAATTCATATTTTTAATATACTCCAAGTCCAACACCTTTTTCAATTTTATAATATCTGAAACATCATTTTAAATATCGAAAATTAACAAAATATTTGCCGAATTGGGCACTGTGCATTATAATAGACGCTGCCTACCTTTACCTTCACTAAATTCATTTTTATTTTTTTTAACATTTTTTTCGAATACTTAACTTTATACACTTGTAATTGCAATATTTTTAAATTTAATAGTATCTGAAACGTAATTGTAAATGTGAACAATTGACAAATATTGCGCTGACTTGGTGCCTATACGTTATTATTCATTGAAAAAATTATATTGGAGAATATAATAATTTGTTGAAAATGCGGGAGAGAATTATGTATTTCTTCAGCATAGTTTTCATGCAGATGTTATGGTAAGGGAAAAGGCAAATGAGAGATTTTTTGCAGTGTCGTAGAATCTTTGAGATGCGATGGATCGGCCCACTAGTGAAATCATAGTATTTTCTTTTAGCAGTGGTCAGGATCGATACCTTTTAAAATGACTGTTCTTAAGACTTTATCTATCTTGGAAAGTATAGAATTGCCAATGAAGTGACGGTAAGGTAGTTTTAGATCTATTACCATTGGTATATAAGTGAAGATTGATGATATATTGTCATAATGGTAGTCGGTCACCCAGAAATGCCAGTCCTTTTATTTGATAAAGGCTCAAGTTTTTTGTTTATTTTTGGTGAAGAAAATAATTAAGATATGGATTTAGAGTCTGATGAGGTAAATCATCAGAAATATATAAAAAAGATATTATCTGTTACGCTCATGAAAAAAGTCAGTGAATTATTTTGCATGTGTAGAGAGAGCAACTTTAAAGTTTGGATATTTCCAGAGCGATTTGAATTCTCTATGCATTTTTATGTATTCATAGTGCATATTTTTATGGCCTTTGAATATTGTCATTTTTTGGTGGGAGCAGTCGGCTTCAAAATTGAGCGAATTTTGGATACTAATTTAGAAATTGTTGGATATTAATTTGACTACACATAATCTTGTAACGCAATTTGGTGACTGATGATTTTATTACAAACATAAGCAAGGTGTCTTTAGTGTATGAAAAACTCGGAATCTGTGCAAAATTTGATCTTAATTACTGAATTGGATGTTTGTAAAAAGTGACTATACTTGTTTAGCAAATATATTTGCCTGAAAAAATGGAGATGTCCTGGCCTATTGGAGTTTTCTACTATCATTTTCAATAGAGCGGAGATCCCTTTCATTTGTGATGCAGATATTCTAGAAGAAAATTCTCAAAAGCCGATAAGGACATGTGATGGTTACATGTTTGAGGCTTTCTATTTCTTAGCACTCTGTAGTGACAAGAATCCATTATTCATTATTGCCGCATATATCTGCAACGATGGTAAATTAAATCATCTTTATATTATGTTAACTTTTAGAATTGTAAGATTATGAGTTAATGACGGAAACTTGTTCTTGTCGCTTAGTAGCATTTTAAGCTGGAATAGAACTGATTGGTACTTTTTCTTATTCAGAAAGACGTCGTGCGAAGAAATACATTATTTAAAGAGGATTTACTGAACCCTGCATCAAATTAATCCATATTTCCGTAATAAGCCAGAGTAAAATTTCAGTTTTTTGAACATTTGCAAAATAATTATTTACAATAAATTTTGGGAGATCCATTCACAGACTAAAAATGCAAAAAGCAGAACTAGGAATTTAATCTATTTGCTGATTCTTTAATTATTTCGTTTTATTTTGAATAATATAAGATCTCGCGTGAGTAGGAAATATGTAAGTGAATAAGAACTTACTTTGCTGTCCAGTCTATTCTTCCTGATGGCTTTGCATTTGCATTATTATTTGATAAATTTTTCTTCACTCCAAATGAGGGCACATATCCTACAAATAAAGGTCCTTTTATTTTGAAGGCATGCATTTTATTGATTAAGTTCATGTTTTGAAGGAAATTTGCATAGTATTACAATTTTAAAGGTAAAATGCGATGTTAATTTTTAATTCAATGCTAATACTAGTTAATTGTCTTTTTCTTAGTTGATTAGTGAAAATTCCATTTACTGTTGATTTTTATGCTGTTAAGCTAATAATAAGGCCTCAGTGAGAAAAGTAAATTCGAATATTAATGAATGAGAAAAATTTAGCAACATTTGTTCAGCTAATAATCTTTTTCTTTAATTTCCAGAAAAGAGACATTTTTACCGTATGCATATTCAAATCTGGCTTGTACAGCCGATTTAGCTGGATTTGCTTTGGTATTGACTTTCGTTGCATTAACATTTTGGTGGTTTATTGTGCCTAAAGTAAATGAGATAAGTTGGAATTGGTTAAGTAGTTTTATGTAATTTTTATCGATATATCCATTGATATGTAAAAAATTAAGAAGATTTAATATGGATTGGTACAACCAGGCATGTATCTTGATCGTGACATATATAATTCTTTAGCTGGTATTTTAGCTTTTGTCATCATAACACCAGAAATTGTGCGACTATTCTTGTCAAGCAATAAGTCTCTCTTTGACGGTTCAACCAAAACTCTAAAATTTGAGTACTCAATAAAGAATTAGTAATTTCAAGTTATTCAACCTCACAATACCTTTGAATCAATCTAAGATGAATTTCATGTCGGCATTTGAACAACGCTACAGAAATTAAAAAGAGATTAATATTAGATTGCAGCCTACTTATTAATGGGCAAATTTCTGTTGATATTTCGTACTACAGCATCAATTTTCGCTTCCGTAGCATTCGGAAGTATTTTTGTTTTGCCTAACACCACACGTGTATCAGAAAGAGTTGAGTCTGCACTGCTCTTCCTATTCGATGTGGACGGATGACTGAACGTTGGGATGCTTAACTTTTCTCCAACCAAAAAGTAACGATATTTAAGCGACTGCAAACCTTCATGAATTTCAAATTAATTATTTAGAAATGAAATACAAATTAACTTGCTCGATGTTTGTTCTTTCTAAAATTAAAGTGATCTAAAACGGTTTATTGATTCATAATGGATTTTCAAATTTTACAGCAATCAAGGAGTTTGCTACCAGCTTGCAGTTGATATCATTAATGTAATGAAAATTGAATTGCAAATTTGTTTGTTTCGACAATTAAGCTATTTCAAGTCTAGAATTTCCCTTGAAATTAGCTCACACTAATTGCTGTAGGTCGTTTTTCTGGATTCCAATGCATCATATCAGCCATTAGTTTCAAGCCAACGTCACTTGCTGCACTCACAATTGCTGCA